TGGCCACGCTGCAATCCCTTCTCCTCCATTCTCCTCTCAGGATCTTGGGCACGCACACACATGTGCCCGGCGTGAGTTTAAGCCACCAGGTCCGGGACTCGAACAGCAGTCGACTACATGGGAGTCCAGCGACATAGCCATTACGCTAACTGCTGGTCCCAAAACAAGGAATTTTTATGGCCAGGCAATTGCAGTCATCCCTGTTCATCTCCTTCTCCTAATCAACACCTCCACATCCTCAATTCAGAATGGATACTATGCAGGGGAGACTCCTAAGAAGATTTTCATCAGTCAGCAAATACTGTTAACCTCATGGGAAGTAATAGGCAGGTTTGATAAATGGAGAAATAGGCTTGGTCCTTCTTTCCTCATACAGGGAAAGTCTAGTTAAGCGAAGAAAGACAAAAAAAAAAAAAAAAGTAAGGGAAAGATGTACAAGGAGAAGAAAATAGTAAAATACTAAAGGAAGTGAAGAGTTTCAATGATTGCTGAATTAATACAGCACTTGTGTTATTTAGAAGTTAGTTTAAATACCAGCCATCTGCTTCCACCTCAGACACACACACACACACACACACACACACACACACACACACAGTACCAAATTTCACCATTCCTCAACAGACATATACATCCCAACAGTCATTTAGTCATATGTGTTTTGTGATTTTCCTACAGCTGCTAATAAAAAATACATTTGATTAAAAAATACACTTGAATTGCAATCCAGATGTAGATATAAATATAGTGGAAGTCATAGTTTTCTTTTGTGACAGTCTTACTAATTAAGTTATTTGGCCCGGTGTTAGCCTCATCTGATATTTTTTTTTTCTTTTGAAGGTTCTTATGAGTGTTGTTTGTAGCAGCATCAATAAGCCAAGAATTCACATAGTTACTCAATCACACAGATTACTCATCATTGCCTTTCATAACAGAATCCTAAAATGTTTAAGATTTCTGATGCAAATCAAAATCTCATCATCACTTGTCATTGCTAAATTAAATGACAGGATAATAACATTACATTAAAACCATTTTTCTCTTGATTGAGTACCTTTTTCAAAAGTGAACCTTCTAGATGTATATTTTTTTCATCAGTACTATAAATGTATTTAGAATCCAAGATAAAAATAGAATTTAAAAGGGGAGGAGTGGGATGTTTTCAAATTATTGATGAATCTCTTTTGAATTTCAACCATATTTGACAGTGCACTGCTAGGGAATGAAGTAGTTTAGCCTAATTTCTTGACACTCTTAGAACTACATAAAGGAGGTTCACAGGTTGAACTTGGATTTTATTGAAATGAATCTTGTGTTCTTGACATCAGTTAAATGTCGTCCCATTACAAACAAGCTGTTAGTGACCTCTAGAATTGACCATTGTTCTGTTACTCCAGCACAGCAAGATGCTGGTTTCTGATAGATCAGAACCTACGTGAAAAATAAATATGAATTTCGAATCTACTTGAGCAGTATAGGTTCTTAGTTGACTTGCCAATGTAAACTAATCTCTTGGCCCTTCTTTCCGCTCTTTAGTCACATCTGTCCTCTCTCCTTCTGATCCATCTGGCCCTCAGCCCACTTCACAGCCAGCCAGCCAGTCCTCCTGCCGTCGGAGCCCATCTTCCTCACTCGACCATAGACCCAGACTTGTTTTCCATTTTAAAGTCAATCATTTCCTTCCATCCTTCAAAGATTTTGTTTTCTCACATCTTCCATCTTTGATGTTATGAAAAGCATACCCTGGAACAAACATTTTACTTTTTTTTTTTTTTTTTGCCTCATTTAGCATTATTAGTAAAAGTTCTTAGCTCTCAAGAATCAATAAAGGTATAGACTTAAAACAAGACTGGCTAGGAGTTGGTAATTACAGAATCTGGTGATGGCGAATGGAGGTGAGGGAAGTCAATATACTAATTTCTTTACTCTTATGTATTTGAAAATTTCTATCATATAAACCAGCTCCATGATGAAGCAGTAAATGTACCCCTTGAGGAAAGCTGGATCCCATATGGCAACTGTGGTTTGAATCCCCAGCCCAGCTGGCCTGAAACCCAGCAGGCACAGTGTGAGTGTCCAAGATCTGACAGGCCAGAGGACAGGAGGAAGGAGATTATGGTGTGACCAGATCTTTTCATCCCCAGAGAGAGTGCTCATGACTCTTCTCTCACTCTCACACTCAAGCATGCAAGCACATACTCCTTTTTGAATAAAGAAAAAAACCTTTATTGGGACCAGCAATTAGCATGACTATGTCACTGTACTCCCATGTAGTCAACCACGGTTCAAGTCCCAGACCCAGTGGCTTAAATTCACGCCAGGCACGTGTGCGTGCATGCCCAAGATCCCGAGAGGAGAAGGGATTGTGGCATGGCCATCCCCCCAGGGGGGGTGATTTCTCACTTTCTGTCTCTCTCTCTCTCTCTCTCTTTCTGGCGAGCGCACGTACCCTATAGCAAAAACCTCTCGAAAGAAAAAGAAAGAAAGAAAGAAAGAAAGAAAGAAAGAAAGAAAGAAAGAAAGAAAGAAATTTATTAATTGTCCATAATAAAAATTAAAAACTGAACTTAGCTCTGTAGGATTCATTTTTTTAAATAAGAACTCTTTCTGAGTTAGCACATTAAATGATGTGTTATGCAGGATGGACAAGGAATAAAACCTGATTCTGCCTTCTAAATATCTCACTCCCATCCTATCACCAAGTAAACAAGGTAAGTACTCCTCACCCGGAATGCTTGGACCAGAAGTATTTGGGAATGCCATTTTTTTTTTCTGGATTTTGGAATGTTTGCATAAACATAATGATATTTTGGGGATGGGTCTCAGGTCTAATACAGAATTAATGTGTTTCATATACCCCTTATACACATTCTGAAGATGATTTTATGTGGATTATATATAGCATTTTTTTTTTTTGGAGAGGTTTTCGCTGTAGGGCGCATGTGCTCACCAGACAGACAGAGAGAGACAGAGACAGAAAGCAAGAAATCACCTCCCAGTGGGGATGGTCACACCACAATCCCTTCTCCTCCCTTCTCCTCTTGGGATCTTGGGCACGCAAGCACACGCGCCCGGCGTGAGTTTTAAGCCACAAACCGCGGCCAACTACATGGGAGTCCAGTGACATAGCCATTACGCTAACTGGTGGTTCCCAGGATTATATATAGCATTTTGACTGAGGTCAGGTGTGGAATTTTCTACCTGTAGTATGTCAGCACTGAAAAAGTTTCAAATTTTGAATTAAAGATTTTTAACCTGGCCCAGCCAGTTAAGGCAGCTGGATCCCACATGGCTAACTTAATGGTCTGAGTCCCAGACCTGGTGGCTTGAAAAATACACTGGGTGCATGTGCATGCATGTCCAGAATCCCAAGCAGAGAATTTCCCAAGAGGAAAGGGATTGTGGTGTAGCCATCCCTGCTGTAGGGAGATTTCTCACCTTCTCTCTCTCTGGCAAGCCTATGCACCCTAATAAAAAAATGCCCTCTTGGCCTATACTTGATTATCAGAACCCTGGTACCTGTCCTGCTTCTCGTTATAGTGACAGATAAACCTAGACAGAAACACATACTAATAACTTCTTTTGTTTATTAAATTGCACTGTGACTAAACCGCTGTACTGGGCATTGGAAAGGGGAATGTTGTCATGATTCTGATTCTGCATAAGACTCAGGAGGTGATCATCGCAAGAAAAAAGGAAGTTTATTGAACAAGAACACCTAGGGGTGCGAAGCCCGAGGTACTATAACCTGCCTGCCAGAAAAGAGGAGGACCTTTTATAGAGCAACTGACTGAGCTATTTTGGGAGATTGTATGTGTGGCAAACATGCAGGTGTGGTTGGGCCTGGTGGGATCAGCGCATTCCGCACATACTGAACATTTTGTGGGTTTTGCTTTATTTGGGGCTATTAGACCCTGTGCTTGCTTTGTGTCCCTGTGTATAGTGTTTGGATCAGTGTGCCCTTACAGGTATAAAACAGTGGTAGACACGAGGAAATACCATCTGAAGTAGAGCTGTTGTAATGGGCTGCCGGGGGAGAGGAATTCTGTCATAGGATGCATTCTTAGGCCAGCCCTGTAGCCTAGTAGTTAAGGGAGCCGGATCCCACAGGGTTGACCGTAGTTTAAATCCTAGCCCTGGAAGCTTGAACAATATGCCAGATACAATGCATGCATGCCCCAAACCCCAACAGGATGGAGAAATGGAGAAGTTGTGACGTGACCATGACCTGTTGGGAGGTGCTTTCTCCCTCCCTCTATTCCTCTCTCTCTATCTCTGTCTCTCTCTCAGGTGAATACATGTACTCTCTGACAAAAAGAATAAAAGATGCATTCTTGATAATGATGAATGGCATCTTAAAGGAAAAGGTAAACCTTCTCTGCTTCTGCTCACAGTTCCAATTGCTAAGACCAGAACTCCATCACCTAAATTTCCCTCTCTCCTAAAGAATTTAAATCAGGCCTTGGTGGCACAGGGGATCATGCACTGGATTACAACGCTGGAAGCCACATGGCCAACCACGGGTTTGGATCCTGAGTTGACCTGAAAGCAGGCCAGGCGCACTTGATGAGGAACCTGATGAGCTAGAGGGCCAGGGAAGGGGGATCTTGGAATGAAGAGGCCCTGTCAACGGGCCTGTCTCTTTTTCTCTCTCTTTCTTGCACATACTTTTTGTCATGAATAAAATAATCTTTTGAAAAAACCTTAAGGGGCCAGCAGATGGCATAATGGTTATGTCACTGGACTCCCACATAGTCGACTGCAGTTCCAGTCCCAGACCTGGCGGCTTAAAACTCACTCTGGGCGCATGTGCATGTGTGCCCAAGATCCTGAGAGAAGAATGGAGTAGAAGGGATTGCAGCATGGCCATCCCCCCTGGTGGGTGATTTCTCATTTTCTGTCTCTCTAGCAAGTGCACACACCCTATACCAAAAATCTCTCTTTAAAAAAAAAATACATTGCAGTTACCAATTTTTTTTTCTTTCCTGTTTAAATTATAGTCTTACTTCTCGTTTGCCAAAAACTGGAGAAACCATCCACGGACATAAGTTTTTTATTGGCTTTGGAGGGAAAGGTGCCAACCAGTGTGTTCAAGCTGCTAGACTTGGAGCACAGACGTCCATGGTGTGCAAGGTAAGTGAATAGTGGAGAGGATTCTAGAGGAAGAATCTGGTTTGAAGACTTGTGTTTATTGTTTTGTTTTGTTTTTCTTTAAAAAAAAACTATTTTAAAGTGAACAAATCAGTGGCATTTAGTACAGTCACAGTGCTGAGCAACCACCATGTCTACTCAGTTCCAGAGTGTGACCATCATTCCCCAGGGAAACCCTTACCCTTTAAGCAGTTTGTCCCCACTCCTTCCTCCTCCCAGAGCCAGCAACCATAGAGCTGTGTTTCCTCTCTATGGATTTATCTATTTTGGATATTTCATATAAAAACAGTATATAATATGTGACTTTTTAACATTTTTTAAAAATTTGCTACAGAGTACATGCACTTGCCAGAGAGGCAGAGAGAGAGAGAGAACCACCCCTCTTGGGGGGGGTGGCCAAGCTGCAGTTTCTTCTCCTTCATTCTCTTCTCAGGATTTTGGGTTTGCATGCACACTCACCTGGCATGTTTTTTAAGCCACCAGGTCTGGGAGTCAAACTGCACAGCTGGCCCCAATATGTGGCATTTATGTCTGGCTTCTTATACTTGGCAGAGTGCGTTGAAGATTCACCCACCTTATAGTTTGTATCATATTTCATTCCTTTTTATGGCTTAATATTCCATTGTCAGTATACCACAGTTTCTTGATCTATCAATAAATGCATTCATGACACTGGGGTTGTTTTTGCCTTTTGCCAGTCGTGACTATTGCAGGAATGGGCATGCAGGGACACGTACTTGTCTGAGTACCTGTTCTCTGTTCTTTTCGAAGTTCACTGTCATCAAACCTCTACATAAGAGACTAATCTCTCTGTCCTTTAAATTCATTTCTACGCCATTGAATCCTCTGGGAAGGAACAGTCCTCAAATAACTTAATGCTGCATTCCCTGAATGTAATGAGTTTATTATAACTGGAGTGTGAGAAAGGAGGGAATTTGTCTACTCCAGTGGGTTTCGGTAGTCCAGCTTGTAAACAACAGCGTGAGTCATCCTGTCTTTAGCAGGTTTCGTGCAGCAATGTGGCTTTTGGAAGCAGTCTAGTAGCTGGTAATTTACTCACCTCTAAGTCATTTTCTTTTAACGCTCTATATTAGATCAGAAAAGGAATCTGGGTCTTAATGAACCATACGTGACTGATCTTTCGACCTGGTACTGTTTCTAAACATCTAAAGAAATTACAATACTCCTATTCCTGTGCCTCCTACTAGAACAATTTGAAAATAAATTGAGTGAAATTCACTACCAAACATTCTAATTTTGCATCTTTTAGAAGTTTAACTATAGGGAACATGCACTCACCAGAGACAGAGACAGAGAGAGAGGGAAAGTGAGAAATCACTTCTCAGGGGGACGACCACACAATTCCCTCTCTTCCATTCTTCTCTCAGGATTTTGGGCATACATGCACACGCACCCAGCATGATTTTTCAAGCTGCCGTGTCTGGAACTCAAACCTTCCTGTTGGCCATGTGAGATCCAGCTGCCTTAATCTTCGTGCCACCTGCTGGTTCCTTTCATGAAATTCAGAGGTGCTAGCATTACTCATATAACAAGAAATGTAGTTTGTTCATTTGTATTTTAGGGAAAGCTAGCCTGAGTCTGCACAATAGAGGATATGAAAGATACAAGAAATTTAAAAGAATGAATTCTCCTGTGAACTGTATAGATTTTACCAAAATTTCTGTGAAATGTCATTTTCTGTTGCATGTAGCACTTTTCTCTCCCTAGGAATCTTTAAATGACATATAAACTATATACAATTATCACTTCACCTGCTAATGAACTGTAGCTTTATTCCAATTTTTGATGAACATTATATAATTTTCACATGGCTATTTGGACAAAAACATCACATTACTACACAAGTAAGAAGCTCACTTTCTGAGACTGAACTTTTGATGGATTTTGAATATTAATATAATTATTCACCAGTTAATTGTGTTCTAGAAATTATGGGCTGTAAGAAGATTTAAATGTTTAGGCCAAGGACAAGCCCACACCCTGATGGTTAAGGAAGATGGATCCCATAGCTGACAATGCAGTTAGAGTCTTGGACCTGGCAGTTTTCAAAACACACTGGGCACCTAGGCAAAATCCCAAAAGATGGAGAAATGGAGGAGAAGGAATTTCAGTGTGACCACGCCCCATAGGGGTTGCTTTTTTCCCCTCTCCCTCTCTCTATTTCTCTCTAGCAAGCACACACGCCCTCTGGCATTTTTTTTTAAGTTGTTCAGCCTGGCCCATTTCATACTTAAGTAGATATGAAGAGTTGGGGAGTGTTGCTCACTTAATAGCATTTGGAAAATAGAAAATGATATAGGGCCAGCAAGTGGCACGGTAGCTAAGGGTGCTGGATTTCCACATGGCTGACCACAGTTTGAGTCCCAGACCTGGCAGCTTGCTTTCTCACTTTTCTTCTCTCTCTCTCTCTCTCTCTGGTAAAAATTAAAATAAGTAAGTAAATAAATAAGTAAAGTTAAATAAAATAATTCTTTTTTTAAAAAAAGGAAGAGAATGATGTAATTTCTTGACTGGGAAAATCTAGGCATAGAACTGGTATGAAAGTTTACTACCCAAAATGGCTGCCCTGGGAAGAAGCAGCGAAAGCTCTAGTTCCCTAGAGCTAGAGTCTTGAAAGGAGAATTTGAGAACCCTTCTCTCTTAGAATCTTTATAGAAGTATTCACAGTCATTAAAGATTGGGTGTCCCCTGGGATCTAATCTAACACTAAGATTTTGAGATTAGTTTTTTTTTTCTTTAAGTCTGTTGAATTTGAGGCAAAGGGAAGAAAAAAAACACACACACACAAAACAAAAAATTTTGAATTATGGCACCGAACCTGGGAAATAAATCATGAAATCATATACATGGTTGTGAAAGAAATGGAAGACAGAGGGCTATATTTTGAAAAATGTTACAGTTAGGTCGATTAACGCAAAGGTACTATTTGTTTTATTCTGATCTTTGTATGATGGTTTATGTTAGTACCTGTACAATTTTTTTTTTCTTATTGCCAGAGAATACATGTGCTCTCCAGAGGGAGAGAGAGAGTGAAAATACCTCAACTCCATGGGGCACGATCACAGCACAATCTTTTTTTCTCCATATTTCCATCCATCCTGCAGTACTTGGGGCATGTACGCACATACCTGAATTTTTTTTAAGCTGTTGGAGACGGGATTTGAACCGCAGTCGGCCATATGGGATCCAGTTCCCAATGCACTGTGCTTCACCACTATACTGTGGGGTTGACCCAGCACCCAGCAATTTAGAAAGTTCTACACATCTACTCTTCACCCAATTAGTTATCTAATACTTAGCCCCACAGTGGGATTTTGTTTGCTTGTTTGTTTTTGGAGAGGTTTTTGCTATAGGGTGCATGCACTTGCCAGAAAGACAGAGAGAGACAGAAAGACAGAAAGTGAAAAATCATTGTACACATGATCTGCAACTCTATAACACAGAATGAAAGCAAGGACCATTTTAAATGGACTCAGGGGACCAGCAGTTGGCGTAATAGCTATGTCACTGGACTCTCACATAGTCGATCAGCATTTGAGTCCTGGACGCGGTGGCTTAAACTGGCCTGTGTGTATATGTGCACGTGCATGCATGCCCAAGAGCCTGAGAGGAGAATGGAGGAGAAAGGATTAAGGTGTGGCCATCTCCCCTGGGGGGTGTTTTCTCCGTTTCTGTCTCTCTGTCTCTCTCTGTCTTTTTGGCAAGCACATGCACCCTATAGCAAAAATCTCTCCCCCCCCAAAAAAAAAAAATTAAATGGACTCAGATTTTCATTGCTTTACCATGTGAGTTAAATCCATTTAAAGATTATTCCCAAGGCTCAAGGCACTAATAACTCAATTGGCAATATCATTCTCATAAATTTAACAGGTTATAAATTATTACATTGAACGGCATTTAGTTACACCAGATCATTAATAGAGATGCCATTTTTTCAGAATAATATCAGTAATAAAGTCTCAAAAATAATTCAGTGAACCCACATGCTTGCTTACATGATCACATTGTCATCTTCTTCTCCTCCTCCTCCTTTTCTTTTTTAATTGTGAGATAGCAGGTGCACTTAGAAAGACAGACCAAGAAAACTCTGTCCCAAATGGGACATGGTCATGCTGCAATCCTCTCTCCATTTCTCCATCCCTACAGGATTTGGAGCATGCGCATACATGCACCTGACACCACTAAGCCACAGGCTGGCCCCAAAAATACCATCTTTCTATTCTTAGGTTTTTTATTATTCTTTTATTTTGTAATGCATGACCTGACCTAGAGACAAAATTAATGGAGCTAGAGTTGATCTCTTAATCTTCAATACTGTCATTACTTTTTTTTTTGTTATTAGATTTTTATTTTTAATCAGAGAATATCAGAGAAGGCAAAAGCAAAGTATTGGGTCATTGGGAAAGTCATGATGTATTTTTCTATGCAAAAACGCATCATGATTTTTCTTTCTCTTTTTTACCATGAATCAAATTTCCCCAAAAGGGGAATTTTATTGATTACTTTATTCCCTTACAAGCAGACCAACTGTAATCAAATGAGGTGAACATTCACCTCAAGATTTTGTCATCTTCATAATAGAAAAGATGAGGCTTAGAACTGGATCACTTGGCCCTTTCTCTTATCTCCTCCCAGTTCAAAATGCTTACAGCTCTTAACAGCCAGCATTCTCTTAGATCTCAACACATTCAAGCCTCAGCACAATCTTCTTTGTAGTTTTTGCCTTTTTCCGGAAAATAGGCTTAGTCTGTCCACCACAGCCACTCTGCTTCCTGTCATAATGCCGCTTTCCCTGAGCAAACAGAGAATCCTTGCCCTTTTTGTACTGTCACTTTATGAGGTTGGTGCTTGCCACACTTCTTACAGGTCTGGTGGGTTTTAGGGACATTCACCATGCTTGTGGGCCTGCTACCTGCACAAAAAGAGCATCATGATTTTTCTGACAGCCCAGTATTTTGTTC